GTATTTCGCATAATATATGTACAATTCTATACAAAAAATAAAGTTCCTTTTATTTCCTCCTCTTCCTAAATTTGTAAATATTAACTGCTTTATATCTGCCTTTGATTTTTATTGTGGAGCTGAATCTTACTTTGTGTCTTTTTCTGTAAAAAAGATCGTAAGCAGATGTTTGCCATCAACACCTGTAGCAATAACTTGTAAACAAAAGGAAAATAATATGAAATTTTCTATTTTACTTAAAAGCTTTACTATGGCATTGTTTAACCGTACGTTGACAAAACTGCTATCCAAATAGTTGCAAACGACATAGCTTATAAGACATCATTTTTATATGGAGATCTGAATGAACTGAAAACACAAAGCTCAAAACACATTATTCAGAAAAGTTGCGTAACTCGCTATCTAAACTCAACTGACTAATCATGAAACCTGTGAGAGAGGCAGGGGGATCGTAACAGCCGATGAGTTGAAGGGCCACGATTCTCGTACAAGGAAAGGGTTCAAATAATTGCTGGTTAGTCACAGAAAAACAATGCTGGAGGAAAAAAAATGTATGAATAAGTGAATGAGTGAACACCGGACTAATGAGCTACTTCCTCCACTTGGTGTATGAGCTCTCCGGGGACGGCGACTCATTTTCGTTACACGTGTGAACACAACGCAGAGCATAATAGGGTCTTGGTTTCCGCCTGCTCTTCTGGCTATTGACACACCGCCTGGTGATGGGGCCGGGGAGATGGAGAGCACCAGCGTTGGAAGTAGTGCCTTTCGCAGCACCAACCGAGAAACCTTCTTCTGCCCTGGGTTTGGTGAAGTGCAGCCCCTGCCTGGTCTCTTGGGGCTGCAGATTGACACCAGAGACAGCTACTTCTGTGCTGAGGAGACTTGGGTCCAGCCAGCTTTATACCGCAGGGACTGCACCGCGCGAACTTGGCTGCGGAGCCCTGCTGGTCCCTGGCTAGCTGCAGCCTCCTCTGCACCGGGAAGCACCGGGGTACCGACAAGCCCAGCTGGAAGTTCCGCTGACTTGTCCTCTTCTTTTTTTTTTTCCTTTTTTTTTTTCCTTCTTTTCTTTTTTTTCCTTCAACATGCCTCTTGATTCTTGTGTTTCCAAGGGAACTTAATGACTTGCACATGGGCGGACAGCTTGGGCCCAGAGGTATGCTCCCACAGCCTTTTCCCAACAAGATGCAGGCTGCACAACCCCTAAGGAGCCAGCAAGGGTCCTACATATTAACTAGCAAGGGCTTTTCTAAAGCCTGGTAGCAGGAAGGCAACGCGGGAAGACCCGAGCAAGCTTGGAAGGGGGCTACCTTCCATCTGAGAGCGCAATCCCAGCCAGCATCGATCTGGACAGAGTCAGGCTTAATTTAATCACTCATCTGCTCCCGCTGAGCTCCCTGTTCTCCAGGATACCCCAGCTCTCCATTTCCCTGAATGATGGAGAGCTGACAGTATTTAATGAGATTAAATGCCATCTTCATTACATAAGAGCCTTTAATTATAGGATATCATTGAACATCATTTGATAGCGAAGAAAAATATGCTTTCTCAAATTTCAGGCAGTGACAAGGGGCCCGGGAGAACTGGGTTCCACTCCCGTCTCTGCCAGAGGTCTCTTCTGGCATGGTAGGTAAGAGCAGGATAGCCACCGAATTAGAGGTTGCGTAAGCAGTGTGGCTCAGACACTTCCTAACTTTAGGGAGCGAGACTTTGCAACCTAAACACTCCGTCTGCTATTATTAAATTGAGGCTGATTCAGAACCTTGACACATGAAGAGAAGAACAGCCCACAGGCTCTCCATCCTTTCATACAGCCTTACATTTCAAGCAATTACTTGCAAAGGATTGGATTGAGAAGTCGGTGCTTGCTCAAAGCCCCAGAAAAGTGTCCAATTCAAATCCAAATTGCCTTTTTTTTTTTTTTTTTTTTTTTTTTTTGTGGCTGCAGCAGTGTTTCCATCACTCTGGCTATTTTGTCTTGATACTCTCAGAACTAGACCTGGGTGTGCTGCAAAAGAAACGAGAGCTGTACAAGGGCAAAAAAGACGGTGTTTTTTCCCCATCTTGGAAAGAGAGTTGATAAAAGAGTAGGAATCAGGCTCCATTTTTAGTCTAGCTTTTAAATTCATTAGCTGGATGGGACCGTTCACATGCAGTCACTTTTCTCGCTGGGTCAAGGCTAGCGAGCAACTGCTGCATTACAAGGACAGAGATAAGTGAGCAAGTCGAGCTATTACTCTCCTCCATCGCTAATTACTTCATCCTAAGACCCCCACAAAATCACCAGTGACATTCAATGACCTTCTGCTGCAAGGAAGGAGCCAGCCTCTCCCTCCATCAGCATCCGCGCCCACCGCAGGCAGCACGTCGGCATCTCTCGCACAGCAGCGCACAGCTGCCTCGCAGAGACTCCCAATGCTTTGGAGACAATGCAAGGAAACAATTACACTCGCTGTTGATTAGCGAGCCTGCACTTTTCAACTTAGCTCGTGTTGCCAAGTAATGAGCATTTCTATTAGCTACATGGAAGGGAGTTTACTACTTGCTTATTTAAAGAACATGCTAAATCACACAATCTGTTTATACACATCCCACCACTCCGCAGGACAGAATTAGTTTCTAACAGGGGCTGAATTACTCGCCCAGCTCTCACCTTCTACCAAAGGCTCAGCGATTAATCTAGGTGGCTTAGACAAAAGTGAAATCCAGCCTAACAGAAGTTCAGTCGACTATTTTCAACAGCACCCGGTATCAGGCTGAAATAGGCTGGTACTGCACAGCCCCATTTCTCTGCAGTTTAACTGTGAAGCTCATTTTTGTCTCGCCTAGAATCCAGACAGCTCTTTTAATTATATCCCAAAACACGTCTGTCCGGACCGAGAAATAAGCAGTCCTGCAAGCAGAGCCAAGTAGACGGCTTGGAAACTGATTATTGGATTCCTTTGTGACTTAATAAATTTCACCAGTGAAATTCCTGATGCTCCCTCTTCCCTCCCCCCGTCCCCCCTTCAGCCACAGCCTAGTATCTCTGTTCCAGGCAGAGTCTCGGTGTGTAAGAGTGGTTGAACTCAACAGCCTGTCACTAGGACTATTGTCTCAGATGACTGATTTTCACCAAACTCCGAAGGAACACAGACGTGCAAACTCTGTTGAACTTGCACAACAGGTTCCAAAAATCAAGTAGCAAAGGCAGAGATCATATAACCTCTCTCTAAGCCCAGTTTCCCAAGCTAATAGCCCCAAACAAAAATTCCTCGATGTTTTGCCTTTTTTAAATACAGATTTTTATAATCTGCCTTTCCTCTTCAGACAAATATCGCACTGTAATTTCCCCTCCTTCCAACCCAAAACATTGTTTAACAGAGCATAAGACGCCTCTAGTGTGAGAGAGATTGCTCAGGCAACCTGATTTTCCGAAGACTTGGGATGAGCCGTACGTACCCAGAGCTCCCTGTACTGAAGATGGTACCATCTGCTTCAAATTCCTTACCTAGTGTGATAAACACCATGCCCTCTTACATACACTTCCATCAGTAGCTTTCAATAAACTTTGGAGGGGATAGTATTTTCCTCCCTTATTTTAAAGATCAAAAAGCTACAGGACCACGAGGGGAAACCTCAGGCAGTCTCACTGGAAACATCCCCCCACGCACTAGAAATTTGGAACCCTGGCAAGAAACACAGCATCAGTGCTGACTGCCCAGTCGCTTTCCCCCATCCATGGTGAGGGTCCTAAAACAGCTTCACAAGCCCTCCTCCAGTTATCATCGAAGTTGTTAACTTAAAAAAAAAAAAAAAACACACACAAAAACCCAAACCAAAATGGACACATTGGCTATACTGGCACCACCTTAAGCCCTTAAATCAACAAAAGGGAAGGATCAGCCCCCTCTCTACAGTAACCCCCTCCATGCTCAGGGGGACGCCTCATTCAGCAAATCTGCTCCTAGGAACATCCACCTCCTGTCCTATACCATCACGGGAGCTGCTTTCAAGAATACTAGCGCTACTCCACAGGAAAGGTTAAAAAAAAAAAAAAATAATCTGCCTTCTTTAGGGGAGCAGATTGCACTTTTTAACAGAAGATGCCTTCTGAACTTTTTCTTGAGCCAAACAAACACGTCACGAAAGGACTGCTGCTTTGAACTGTTCTTCCTGGCTTGAAGAACTCACTGCCAAGAAGTCTCTTCTTCAGACTACCATCATCCTGTAAGAACTTAAATCAAAGAGCAAAATAAACCAAGTTCTCAGTTGAAGGGCAGATCTTGGACATTTCAGTCCCAGCACTTTTTTTTTTTTTTTTTTTAAAATCTTTCCACACCCCAAGTTGAAGCCTCAGGAAGACACAACTTCTTGGTCTTCTATCCATCCCTCTTCCTCTCACTACTCCATGGACGTGGTACGAAACCTGTGGAAGCCAGGACAGTCACACAGCTAATTTTTGCAGTTATTCTCCTCTCAGCTTTACAGGCAAGCTGACTTCATGCTGAAAGGTCACACTGCAATTGCACAAAATGTAGCCTAAAATACATTCATCTATGATTATAACTGTCTGTCATCTAAATGTGATTATTTCTACCACTCAACCATGCAGAGTAAACCAGAATGCAGCTCTTGAACTCCAGAGAAATGTTGTCTGTTCTGGTATCAAAAGGCAGATCAAAGAAAGACTATCTCCACTGCAAAATGTGAAATGAACAGCCTGGAATCTCACACAAAGAAAATAATGCCTACTCTACAGTCAGTAGTTTATTATTCAACCTAAAACATCGCATAGTTCTTTGTGAAGTGTCCATGTTTAAAATACTGTGCACTTTAATGAACAGAGCAAGTCCTACCTTTCTATTCTGCGTTTAGTTGCTTTTGCCTATGTTTGCAGGTAACAGGCTCGAGAGCTGGTTTCACACTGAAGACACACAAACAAACAGAACTTGAAAAATAAAATTGCCATTAGTATTTAATCACCTATAAAAAATAAACTAGCGCTTTCAGTTTACATCTCATTGCACAAGATCAAAGCTGGCCTTGAGTCTAAGCACAGGACAGAGACCCCGACCTACAGACAGTGAGGAAGTATACTCGGACCAACAGAAAAAAGAACATGGAGTAGCCGTTAAGCTTTCAATTCACACTGCACATGTCTTTTCAGTCTTATCAAAAGTGAAACCCACCACAGAACTCTATGCTCGGGGCCTATAATCTTCACAAATATCAAATTACATTTTCAAAAACCTTTCAAAATATGGAAACAACTGAACTCCTGGAGAATTCTACGCTTCTCCATATAAACCAAGAAGCAGCAGAAGCACTTTTCAAATTCAACAACCCAGATCAGCTTTATTAGATCGTTACATTTACAAGAATTAACGGTAACGGTGCAGCTGCAGGGTATTGCGCCTTCTCCAGGCAGCACGACGTGAGCCACCAATGGTGTGGTGGAATTTGTGGCCCTTGCCAAGACCACGACTCTTCCGCCCAGCCGATGTCAGCCCACGCATCTCTCTGTGCTTGTGAACGGGCTTGGTGATCCATTGGGTATCAGGATTGCGCCTGATGGTCTTATGGAAGGGATCAATCAGGATCACTTCGAAAAACTTGTAAGTGGAATCTTCACCCACCCAATACGAGTTCAAGACTCTCAGAGCCCCACAGTGACGGCCAGCACGTTCCTAGAGGAAAAAAAATAAATGCAAAAGACTGTAAAATCATGGATGTAGGGCATTCTTCATGCAGACAGATATGAGTAACTCAAACCTAAAATTTTGTGGGTGCTAGAAATTTCAATTTTCCCCGAGAGACCTTCTCTTCCTAAAAGAACTGTTCCCCTTCGAGTTGCAAAGATGCAAGAAAAAGTAGTAGCTGAAAGGAATGCTGCATTAAAAAAAAAAAAGGGCTCTTTGGATTCCTACATGAAACAAGTTTTAAAAGAATGAAAGGAGGAAGGTGCCTTGTTGACAAAAGAAAGAACTACTTCGTACACAGAAGCACCCAATAAATAAACACACAGAGATAAAAATAGCTTTAACATGAGGATGAACATACAAAGCACAATTTCACTTGGGGCCATGGAACAACCTTTGTGGGAAGTTATGAAAGATCGATCAATTTGCACATCCAAAGCTACACGGGAGAAACACATTTCTGTAGAGAATACACCCGTACTGATAGGAGAAAAGAAACAGCTGATGTAACAAGTCTTTATTCCACTCTTGGTATATTAGTGCGTGCTATTCCTATCCTCACTTGTGGTTGGCAAGAAGCAGTCTTAGTTTAGAAAACAAAACAAAGCAGAAAATATCAATTATGCAATTCCATCTGCCTCTCCTGTCAAGAACGTTCCTTATTTAAAACACTAAAAGTGTGTTTAATCTTAGGACTTTATCATCACCATGGGAAAAGTATGAACCAATGGAGCCCACCCATCTTCTATCCCAATGCGATCCCAACCTATTACTACAGTCTTCCACTGACCACCACTTGACCATTTTCTGCATATGTAATAAAATTCTCTGAAGTCCTTGTTTTATTATAGCATGAGAGCAACATGTATATTAAACACTAAAACGCCAACCACCCTCTACCAGCTTCTATGTGGCGATGGTAGCTACAATTGAGGTTTTACATTTCTATATTTCTATCTGAAAAACCTAAGCCTTCCAGGAAAGCGCAAGTCAGAGTCAGAAAATTCTGAACTGAAACTGAGGGCAAATAACCTCTTCCATGAGCTGTAACCACAAGTGAGCATGTGATTAGCCATCGGTTATCTGGGAATAGTGTATATGAAGAGCACGCCATGAGTACTGAAAGCAGTGCATGCACAGAATTGCATTTTTAACTGGAACTCATCACCTGTGTTTCTTTTAAATTAGCATGTCCCATTTACTTTTTTTCTTTTCTTTTAAAAAAAGCCCACTATATCCAACTTGAAGTAACTTTAAAAGTATTTTTTGAAGTCCTGGGAACAAAAAAGTCTTCTACTTCAAGATGGAAAGGCAATGAGCAGTCTCCATTCTTTCACAATGTCTTTTTTGAGAGTTCAGACCAGTATTAATTCTCACCCACTGAATGATTTTTTTTCTAAAGGTGAGAGCTACATCTCTTCAACACTACTGTGACATTATGAAACTTAAAGATCTCATCGAATAAAAGTTTCCATTTTGAGTATTTCAGCAGGTAATGACATCCCACCTATAAAAAAGTTAACCACCAATCTTTGTGATTGTGAGGTACCAAAGTTTTTTAGAGGGAACCAGAAGGTCTCTGGCAAACTGTTTTCAGATCCTGTGATACAGCTAAGTACACTGCGTGGCACTCCTACACGGACGGGTGCTACAGGCTTTAAGACAGGAACTCATCTGTCCTTTGTGAAAGGACCCTTCCCTAAAGCTGGTAACACATGCAAAATGGCAGGGGAAGCAGAGGTGGGATTTAGTGATGAGTGAAGTCAGGCACCTTAGCATGTTTGAATTTTATTTCTCACGCCTAACCCTGTATTTTACTGGGGTTTACACTAGTTGTATGTCTATTTTTCATTACAAATATTGTGGCACATTTTAGAAATAAGTATACACTATGAACTTCCAATAAACCATCGAAGCAGTACTTTCCCCAGGCTCCATTTGTAAAGTCTGAATAGTTTTTTTATTTGTCTCAATACAGCTTTTCAAGACATTCGGTCTTTTACCCCCAACACATTACCAAAATGGTTGTTTGGGGTGTTTTTTGTCTCTGAGTATCTTTGACTTTTACAGACTAAGATGGACGTTCTTATTCCTACTGCCACATTTCTAAGCCATAACCAAAATAGTCACCTCTGCTACAGACTGAAGACTCCGGGCAAACTTCAGCTGGTTAACACCATGATGCACAGGTTTACCATAGGTTGCGCCTTTCGGGACTGGGCGTTTACGACCACCACGGCGAACACGGACACGGTAGATAATGTAACCTAAAAGAAATGGTGACTTAGGAACTAGAAGAATTCTGTAGTGTAGCAAGTGCAAATCACAGCGAGGCAAGTTTGACGCTCATACTGCATTTCCAACCCCAAAAGGTTCACATGAAAATTACGCCACTATACCGATCTTCACCAACCCCTACAACAGGAGGTGGCTAGCACAAGATGCTTTTGTTATTTCCATTACAACTGAGTACGGGAAGTGATGTCCTGTCATGATTATTTTTCACTTTCAAACCAGAGTTTATGGCACTTTTCCACTGTGCAGTTCCAAATACACTAAGAACAGCTAAAGCTATGTTGTAACATGAAAAAACTCCCAGCCTGAAACACTCAATAAAACAACCACCTCAAAACTAAAATCCCATATTCTGATAGTAGCATTTATAAAGCACTGAAGTGCAAGCCATCCATGAACACTGCTGAAATGTGATCACTGAAAAATTAGTAAATTAAACAAACTTCACAAACAGTAACAGAAGCATAGACTCTTAGCTTTGTATTTTCATAGTGAACAAACATATTGTTTCAAGGATTTGCTCAAGTTGCAGATGGATGGCCACTTTCCCTGAGTTTCTTTCACTCACCAGTAACTGTTTTCTAATGACAGCACAAACTACGTCATCTTGCTTACTCAAGCAGATGTATACAGTCAAAGTAATGCACGATAAAATCTGGGCGGAGAAATGACCCCCCCCCAACCCAGAATACTAAAAGCATTGGTCAACTCTGCAGTAGTAACACAGCACAAGAACAAGAATTACAGGGAAAGCCCACGTGATCTCCATCTGCCAAAACGGCCACAGAAGGCACGAGTTCAAAATTACATGAAGTAAGTTTTTGGGCTGTGAGCACTGCTACCGATTCAACACATTTATAATATTAAGTTCATTTCAAGCAGGACACTTCAGGTTCTCGGGAAATATTTAAGTTCAGATATTGTTAATTCTACTACCACTTAAGGAAGGAAGGAAGGTGACATAAAACTCGGGTCACTCCATCACAAAGCACATAGATTTCACCCCTACATCTCATTACCTTGCTTGGCCTTATATCCCAGCCTGCGAGCTTTGTCTGGTCTGGTGGGCCGGGGAGCTCGGTGCAAGGCAGACAGCTGGCGATACTGCCAACAGCGGACACGGAGGAGGAATCGCATCACATCCGACTGCTTTTTCCTCCATAGCTCCTGGATGTACTTGTAGGCACCCATGTTTGTCTACCTGCTGAATCAAGAGATCAATGAAAAAAGCACAGCAAGTAAGATTCCACATTTGAACAGCTTCCAACACAGACATCGTATAAAACCATACACATAACACCACTGATACAAAGGATGCTCTCAAACTTCTTTGCACCACAGGCACATTGAGGAACATGGCTCATACTTGGGAGCCTCCAATAGGACACTTGGCAGTTACCATTTCCAGCAATTTTCTTCCCTTTCAGACATTCTTAAGTGTTGAACTCCTCAGATGAGGATTTTTCAGAGGTGTGTGTCAGATACCTCCAAAATCAATAGCAAGCACCTAAACCAAGTTGTAAATATTTATCTATAAAGAAGTATGTGACTGCGAGTGGTACGGTCTTTATTTTTAATGTGGTTTAATTACTTTTAAGAACCTTTGAGCTCTCACACACCTGCAACGATTAGCAGATGTAAATGAACTCCACCAAGCCATCACCCAAATCACTATCAGAAAAACGCGGTTTGTTTTATTTGCACAAAAAAAAAAAAAAAAAGGTTCACATGTGATTCTCCACACTCTTCTCTTCTGAATCAGCCCAGCCACGGCACAGCTCTCCCCACTCCAAGAAAGCCCTTCTTTATGACTGCGTTATGGCATAAAACACCACAAACCAACGGCAAACCCAGAGCCGAACCAGGACGTGCGGCCTGTCATCAACCTGCACCCGCTACGTTGCGGTGCGCGGCTTCCCCCTCACACCAGTAAACCCCGGGTCCCAGGTCCCACTGAGTGTCCCCCTCCCATACCC